ACCTAAAACCGACGTTTAAGTGACGTCAATAAGCAGACGTCTAGCCCACGTCTGGCAGATGTGTCATGTAGCGGTCATTTGGACGTCCAAATGACCAGCTATCTTACGTCTTCTGGCCGAATCTCATGTCGTCGTTTAGACGTCCATAAGACGTAGTGTGCTACCTGGGTCTCCATTTTGTTGTTGTCTATTATGATATTGGGATCCACCGGACACATAGTTTTGGTTTTATTCATATTGATTTTGAGGCCTATTTCCTTTGATTTTTGGTTCAGATCTGTAATAATTTTTTCCAGGTGTTCAGCGTTGTGGGCTAGCAGGGCTATGTCGCCTGCGYATTTGAGATGTGTTAATCTCTCGYCGTCGATGATGACTCCCTCTTCTGACCAGTTTAACGTCTTGAAAATTCCTTCTAGGGCCAGCGTAAACAGTTAGGGTGAGATAGTGTCGCCATGTWTGATTCCCCTTTGCACTGCGAACTCTCTGGAGCCCAATTCTCAAAACTGGGAACGGCGTTCACATTAGAAAGACGGGCGTGGTTCTCTCGTGAAGCGAATATTGATATTCTTGAACGAAATCGAGTGATCCCATGATGTAACCGCAGTAGAACAAGCTTCTATTGCCAAATCTCGCGGGAACGCATCGTTCACCGGTTTTATAACCACACACTACACAGTTTTTCGCGTAGGTACCCAGTTTGAAAAGTGATGTGATTTCGATTCGAACTGGAGTAGCGAATTTCTTAAATAAACTTGACTTTTCAGTGTTGATAAAATAATGAGCAATTTAAGAGGTTTCCTAACGGGGAGTAGAGCGGGCTTGTATGGAACTGTTCTCATCAATCTTCAAGGTAAGTTTTTGTGTTTGGAATCGTGTCTTGTAGTAGAAACTATTTTAGTATTACTGAATTTACTTATAGTTGCAGAGGAACAAGAAGAAAATCATCCACGACAATTTTATTAACCCATGAACGCTATGGAAATAAATGAAATCAAGTTTGTCAAGCTTTCTAGACTGAATAAGCAGCTGGTGCTCCAATTGATAGAAAAGTTGACGCCCGATCTTCAAGCACCAAGCAGAAGTTCTGCTATAAGCATCGAAACAAAAGTAAGTACCTACATGTACAGGGTGGGCCACTAAGAGAGGTGGTCGGCCATATCTCACCAACTATTAGTCGTATCGATTTCGATTCGAGAACCGATTGTTTTGTCAACAACCCAACAATATCATTGTTATTGTCAAATTGCTTATTTCTTCGGTTCTAACAAATATATCGGTGTGTGGTTTTCACTATTTTGCTTCATTTTTTATACTCCTTCTAAGCAGCTAAGAAATTATATATAATTTCATTTAAAAAATTTAAGAAAATCGAAAAAGTTTGACGACTTTTTATAACGCGCCCTCTGGCGGCCAAAGTGGCAATGATATCGGCCAATATTTTATAGTAGGTGTTAATGTAAATCAAGAGCTATTCAAATTGCAATTTAAGCGTTGAATTTGGTTAAGCCAATACGGAGTTATTAACAACTTTTTGAACCGTTATTTGATTTTCCCCCACAACTTTATTTGACTAGCTAGAACAATAATACTCCCACAAGAAATAACTGACAGTTTGTGAAGAATAGAATAAAGGTACTTCCAACCTACCTTAGCCTATCTGAAACCGCTTAAAATACGTATTTAAACTTTGCTATTGCAATTTCATCTCATTTTGCAAACTTGAAAGTAATTTTCATCCACTTCCCTGAGCCAGTTTACTTACATATTTTTTTACTTGAAATCGATACGACTAATAGTTTGTGAGATAAGGCCGACCACCTCTCTTAGTGGCCCACCCTGTACAGTCGGCGTCACACAAAAGTATAACATTATTATAATTTTTATTTTGTTGTGGTTGATTAGTGACCGTGATGATAATCAGTAATTAATTCTTCGATAGTGGGTTTTTCGGTCAACGGATGGTGGTAAAATAAAACACTACTTTTTCATGGGCCAACGTTTCGACTTTATTCAAGTCATCCTCAGGGCTCTAAAATGGAAAACAGAGAGGTTTTAGCGTAGAGTCTGGTGAAGTTTCAACACTTAGTGTGTGACATTGTTGTACAATACAAAAAAAAAATAATAAAACTCGACTTCTCAACAGATTAAAAATTAAATCACGACCATACATTAAAATTAACATTGGTTTGAATACAAGTCAATTATGGTCAGTCCCGACCCAAAATAGTTTAAAATTACATAAAATAAAAAGATCAATATAACCAACCCCACAGCATTGGTAGAACACCAAAGGATAATTCAAAACTCAGTCAATTTTAGAAGAGACACATAGAATCTGAGTGAAGCCCATAATAGCCTTATACACAAGAATAATATAAACAACTAAAATTAATTTCATATTGTGAGTGTGTGGAATATTTCATGTTCTTATCAGCGAGACATTCTTCGCAGCCTTCCAGAAAATCTAAAAGAGCCAGTCTAGTAATACACCTGCCTTGAGAAGCATGTTACCCTTGAGTAAATATGGCACTGACTTCATCGGTGAGTGATTACATAATGAACGTATCTTGATGATTGCGCCCTTTTTAGACTTGCATTTTTTACCAACTTAGTTTCGTCCTTTGTTCACCGCTTTTTAATCGTATTTAATTTAAATCGTTTTGACATGAGATCATTGTTTTGAGTGTGTTTTATGGCTTTGACCGCCTGATCGTTTTTATTTTATGTAATTTTAAACTCTTTGGGGCGGGACTGACCATGATTGACTTATAATCAAGCCAATGTTAATTTTAATGTATTTTTTTTTGTATTTTGACTGGATAGTCTGAGGGTCGTGATTTAATTTTTAATCTGTTGTGAAGTCGACTCTTATTTTTTTTATTTTGTATTGTACAACAATGTCACACACTAAGGGTTGAAACTTCACCACACTCTAGGCTAAAACCTCTCTGTTTTCCATTTTAGAGCCCTGAGAATGACTTGAATAAAGTCGAAACGTTGACCCATGAAAAAGTAGTGTTTTATTTTGCCTCCATCCGTTGGCGTATTGTACTTTCCTCAGAGTTACAGAATAGACCGAAAATAGGCTCCTGTGATTGGCTGTCCCTGCGACGTCAAGTATGTAATAAGAACGGCGGAACTACCACAACCTTACCTCGAATGTTATTTATTAATTTTCGCAAAATTGGCAAAGACTAGTTACTCCCTGGTATTGGTTTACCTGTTTAAAAAAATGCATTATCAATCACATATTCGCTTATTTGATATTTAGCTGGTTTGATTGTTATGTTACCATCGATTTTGTTATTGAAGAGTGGAAGTACCAATAAACTCGCACAACGTTATTAAAGTGTTTACTAAGATCTTTATCTACATTTAAGAGATATTCAAGATGAGTTTATCAAAAAAAATTATTCGTGAAAAATTCGCGGAATCTGGAAGCGATTCAGAGTTAATAGTGTAACTTCGTAACAGAAGATGATGTTAAAGAGTGGCTTCACGAGTACTCTGAAGATACAAACACTAACTGTATTATAAGAAATGGTATGTATAATCCTCAAAGGTAATAATTTAGTGTTGATTACAAATTAATTATACACGCGCACTAATAATATTATTTTAGATTAATATATCACAAATATTTTGTGTGCCAGCATTCTGAGAGAAATAAAAAGAACAAAAAACTAAAAATAATTCCAATAGACTAACATACTGTTCTGCCAGTATAGACATTAAAACTAAAAAACGTAATACTAGCACAAAAAAGAAGGATCTTGTTTTGAAAAATGAAGTACCTTAACAGGAGTTGTTAAAATGAAAATAAATCATAAACATAATGTAAACACTTGTGGATCACTTAAATTATTGCGATTAGATGACAAAACTAAGGGGCAATTTGAAAGCTCCGTTGAAGATGGCTTAGGAATTAATGAAAGTATAAAGCGACTTAAAATTACTTTACTTTTAAACACTTCCATTGATTTGCCAGAGATAGCAGCAAATTCTCGATTAAATCTTACGAATAATATATACGTAAATATATTAAAATACTTTAACACCGTGTTTTTCTGGTCATTTTAAAAGGAGGTTTTCCTGAGAATTTTTTTAATTTGAGATTTCATTGTTGAGATCTTTGATTTTTAAAATGACCGAACATAATATTCAAACAACAAAACCTGTTGTGTTTCTTTAAAACTGTTAAACGTGTAAACTTAAATTTTGGTATACATGATAATCTAATTGAGTGCCATTCTATGGTAGTGTTTTGTGGTTCTGTTTACTTTTATACAGGGTAGAAATGTGGAACCCCTACTTTTGTTTTGTTCAGAACTTTTCTGTATGCACTTAAACTTTTATCAGCATAATTTTTTTTAAAATTACAAATTATTTGCCTACTTTTTTATCTCTTATTGTTTTTTCCTAAGACCACTAGTTTGCCCACAAAAAAATAAAATAGTTTGATTTGCCGTTCTCAAAATGCGTAAGTACGTAACTAAGGGATTTTTATTTAATAACGTTTGAATACAAAAAGTGCAATAAACAAAGGAGGCTGTGTCTACGACCGTTCAATATCGTTTAGTTTCCATTGTCAAAAGTTTTACAGCGGCTGGTGACAGTTTTCAAGTTAAGTAAGTTTAGTTGGTCGGTTTCTTTGTTGCTTTAGTTTTTATGTTAGACACAAAATATGAATAACAGAAATAACTGTCATAATAATGAAGAATATACAGATATGCATTTGATATACGGAGAATGTCATGGCAACGCTCTTCAAGCCGCAACGCTTTACGCAGAAAGATTTCCTAATCGTCGAGTTCCTAGCCATCCAACTTTTACCAAAATTCATTTAAGATTACGAGCCACTGGAACATTTACCCGTCGACGAAATAAAGGTAGCGGACATGTAACTGGTGCTCGACAAGAACGCGCCGTTTTGGATTATTTTGGTAACAACTCATGAGCGTCTATCCGAGAAGCATCAAGGCATTTTAATATGTGTGCTACTAGTATTTGACGCATTTTATGAAAAACCGGTTTGCATCCTTTCCACTTTAAAAGAGTACAAGAATTGTTACCAACAGATCATAAACTGCGAGTAAGATTTTGTGCGGAAATTCTAGAGAATCGTAGTAGAAACTCTCAATTCACCCAGCAAATACTGTTCACCGATGAAGGTTTATTATTGAAACGAGGCGTTTTTAATTACCACAATATGCATGAATGGTTCGCCAAAAATCCGAATTCTTTCATCACAACGAAATACCAACATTCATTTTCGCTCAACTTCTGGGCTGGAATAATACGAGATTTTTTAATAGGACCGCAGATCTTACCTAGACTTTTAGGAGGGGCTGAGTACTTGAATTTTTTACAAAACAATTTTTTTGAGTTATTGGAAGATTTGCCTCTCCAACTACGACAACAAATCTGGTATATGCACGATGGTGCCCCTGCTCATTTCTTTTCTTTGCAGGTTTGACATTGGCTTGATCAAAACTTTCCAGGCCGTTGGATTATGAGGGGTCTAGAAGCTCCTATAAACTGGCCTCCTAGATCTCCTGATCTAAACGTGCTTGATATTTACTTCTGGGGCCATTTAAAAAATACGGTGTATGCATCAGAAGTGAATACAATCGAAGAACTTCAGGAAAGAATATTTAGTATTTCTGACGAAATAACAATCTCCGAGCAAACTTTATCTGTCTGTAAATTTGAATTTCATTAAGAGACTGCGATTATGCCAAGAGTGTCAAGGTGACCAACTTGAATAGCTGCTAAGTTAAGATTATAATGGTTGTTTAAATTTAATTTTGATAATTTTTATCTTTGCGAATATTGTTACCATGGTATTATTTAAGTAAAATTGATTAAAACTTAATAATTGTAATTTGAACCGAAATACACATTTTCGAAAAATAATTGAAGTTGTTAGTAATTAACTAATAATGCGAAGCAAATTTGTCATTTGAAAACGTTATTAGATTTTCAAAACGTCAATTCTCAGACGTGGAGCGCTTGGTCACGATGGATATGGAGGCCGAACGTATTGGGCTGAAAGAAGACCTGGCCGAACTCAGCAAAGCAGTGAGGCGGCAATTCGCGAATGAGCCTTATAACTGCGATGATGGGACGGCCGGTGAATTCAAAAAAATAATATCCAATAAAGAACCTCTGCAACACTTTTATGACGAATTAGTTGAAGAATTCGATGGAGGATTTTACGAAGCTTCTTTTGATGAAGAATTGAACTGAATATTTAGGACGGTATCTGATTTGTTTCATAAGGTGCAATAAATTTACATTTTTTTAAATTGTACCACCTGATTTTATTTGATAAGAAAGCGGATTGGCTGTGGCTTTCAATGCTGATATGAATAGGGCGTTTACAATGTTGCCAACATTGTGTTGAGTTTGATACGTCAAATTCACTCTTCAAAGAGTTTTATAAAATGACGCAAACCAGGAAATCGCTCAAACCGTACCGACTTTTAAACGTTTTCAGTCACAGAATCAACTAGAATCATTGACTAGAATGTTTAATCGCAGAAATAAAGCCCGTATCTCACAAAATGGCATCTGGAGTATGACTTTTCACTTGTAAGTGACGTGCATTTTAGCGACTAAAAAGTCGCGCAATAGAAAGATGGCAAGTGCGCGTTTAGGACATCACCAAATTACTGGTGATTTTACTATATAAACGATGAACTATATATAATTTGCATTAAATTCTGGAGTAGTTTGCAACATACTCTGTGATCTGGGCGAAATATTCAAGGCAACATAAAAGCTAATGGGAGCATGAAACTCTATTTCGAGGTGAGACTAATACCAAGATTATTTGGTCTACGTGACTCAAGGTGTACGGTCGACAGCGTGCTGCGTTCGCGAAGTGCTTTGTTGGTTAGGAGTGCTCAGAGTGATTCTAGCGTTACCACGTGTCTTGTTTAGTTGTACCATTGTGCTTCTCAGCGCAATTCTATAATTTAGTGCTGTGTATACACGGCTGATTTTTCTGTGTTGTTGCAGGTTTGGGGAAACCGCATGGCGCCGCTCACAGCCGAGGAGGTTCGGAGAAGGTTTGAGGCACTGGAGTCCAGACAGGAGGCCACCTTAGAGGAGCTTAAGTGCTCCAATGAAAAGGTGGCTTACTGGATGGAACGTGCAGAAAGAGCTGAAAAGCTCTTGCAGCCCAGTTGCCAGGAACCAGCCAGTGAGGAGTCCGGCAGTGAGAGCGAGGCGGCCGAGGGACCCGCTGAGGCGGCAGCTCCTCCGGCAGCCCTCAAGGAGGGCCAGGGCCCGGTAACGGACTCTTCCGACGGCGAGGGTTTTGAAACTCAAAATCGCCGACGGAAGAGAAAGCGGACCCGGCCCATGTCCTCCAGCGAGGAGGAAAGTAGTAAAATTGACT